TCTGCATTTGTTGTGACACTTTAATTCTGAGTTCGTAGTCACCCCGAGAGTATGTGTAAAAAAAAATAATAATAATTCGTCCATCCGCTCTTGAGTTATAAATTGGTGGTGTTTTTTGCGCCCCCTATAGTTCTAAATGAAAATTATTTGGTAAGCCTATTCCCCAAGACAAACTGAACCTATTTACCAAAATCTGTGATGTTTGGATACATTATTGATGAGTTATGAGCATTTCTTTCTAAGCCCCGCCTTTTTGCGAGTACCTTTTAATTCATGGCGGAAATATTTATCGTTTGAACATGCTCATCTCCTAGGGTAATGTGTCTGACCCTCCACCGATGCTGTATACAAAGTTTTGTGTTGAAAAACTGGAAATTTAAATTGTAATGAATATTTAACTGTTTATGTAAATTATGCTAATAAAAAATATATATGTAGGCGGAGCTTAGGGTTCCAAGAGGATTATTTCTAGAACCGGTCCTCCCGGATATGTGTGCAAAATGTCAGGTCATTAGGAGTTACGGTGCGACTTTGTAAATGTATTCCGAAATGGGTTTTTCATAGGTGGCGCTAGCGAGCACGTTGGACAATTTGAACTCATTGACTCCAGAATAATGTATTTTTCACCAGTCCTGGCGTTCGTGCAAAATTATACAACGTTTGAACCGTCCTAAAGGCCTCAAAAACAGGAAACGCCAGCAGAAAAATAATAATAGGAATAATTCCACCAATAAATATAGGTTCCTCGCACTTCGTGCTAGGACGCCGTTGGGTCCTAGCGCTCCGTGCTCGGGCCCTAATAACAATGGGACCTGCAAATGAAGACAAATATTTAGCAATGCAGGACCAGAGTACATAGACTTTTTCACATTCTGCTTCATATAGTCCAATTTTTCTTAATTTATACAATTTCTTTAACTGAAAAATACATATACAATTCTTTAGATCCTTCTGTTGAGGATTCCACTATTTTACACCAACCACCGAAATTTGCTTAAAGAGCTTGTGACACGAGTTTCCCCCATCATCCAAACCCATCAATTTGAGTAAATATTGTCCCCTTGAAAACCGTTACTGAACTGATTTTGGATATTTGTACTTTGATAACCATTAATCTGCCCTTCAATGTTGACCATTTTCTGGATCTTCTCTGGGATTCTTCAAGACCCGCCAAATGATGTGTGACGTCATTGCGGGCACAGCGCTCCAGCTGCACCGTTCAGGATCCCAGCATCTGCATGTAAACGCACGATGGTGCACACAGCAGCAAGCTCAGACAGCGATGACAGTTTAATGTTGAACGTGTCTGAGAGCTCATATGAGGCTGAAGGATCGGTTTATGTTGTATCTGTTAGAAGTTTAGGAATTAGGTGCGTCAATATGGCGATCATACGGTCATGTAGCCAGTGGTGGACTGGGACTAACAATCATCCCGGGACTCTCGACCGGCCCACTTCGGTACCGCTAGTAAATTGTCAACGGGGGGAGTCGGGGATGTCAGGGGCGGCGGGTGCTGTAGATAGTAAATGTAAATATTTGTGTCACTGCATCCTGGTAAAATACAAATATAATGCAATGTCTGTGTCTTTGACATTAGCGCTGCTAGCCACCTGTGCCCTGTACTACGAAGCCAGTTCAACAGACCCTGGATATGTTTGAGTAACAAACTAACTAACAACAACAAACTAACAAACGAGATCTCGCTAAGCGGTCCTACGACGCTGGTTATCAACTCGGTAAATCAAGCCAGGGTTTCTCTCTCCAGCTGAGAGCACGTTCACGTCTAAGACACGAGTGGATCTGACTTTAATTACATTTGACTCGAGTGTTTCGTCAACATAATGTGTTGCTTAAAATAATACTTCTGCATACAGTATGTGACACTGTAAGTGTTGCACGGCCAGACACGGCAGATAAGGAAATATATGATATATTATGATATTATATGATCGATGATCTGATTGATGATGTAATATGAATGATAAGTGCGACACGTCGGCGTCTTCTCTGCATACGGCAGTTTAAACTGTATTTCCTTTATCCCGTAATATGACTTGAGAGATTTAAACTCCGCACACTGAGTTGATCTCTTTTCTATAGACGCCGGAGGCGGGCAGCGTCAGGTAAAAAAAGTTATTTAGCCTTCCCAAACCTGAGCCTCACGCGCCGCCTATGGGGGATGTGCTAGTGACTATCCGACCGGCCCACTTCGGTACCGGCCCATCGGGATTCGTCCCGATGGCCAGTCCGCCACTGCACCCAGCCCACGTAAACTGTCAACGGGGGGAGCCTCGCTGCGGGGAAACGGTGGACCTAGTGTCCCGATCGGTGGGAATAATAATAATAATAATAATAATCCGTGCATTTTATCCATTAATTTCCCCAACATTGTGGTAAAAAAACCACACGTTTAATCCATGTTGGTGTACTACAACTACAAAAAGCATCGGTTTGTTTTCTCATCAGGAAATGCAGACCGGCACAAACAAACGATTTTTAATCATCATTCTCACGATCATTTAATCTATCATATGTTCGCCGAATTGACATGAAAGCACTAATACATGTAGTTTCATCCACTTGAGTTTACAACTACAAAAATAATCGATTTGTTTTTATATCACATCCTACGGGAGGAAATTCAGTAGCTCTCACTACCGATTTTTAATCCTAATGTAATCATCATCTTCACCACGATCATTTATGTTTATGTTCGCCGAATTGACATGAAAGCACTGACAAATATGAATATACTGTAGTCAACTTCATTAAAACGTTATTAACGTGCCAAAACTCAGTAATTCACCATTTCTACGCATGACAACACACTTTGTCCGTGTTTGGCTCTCTCGCCGCACCGTGAAGCGTTCCCGCATTGACGTCACTTCCGGCTTCCCCCAAAACTTCAAAATGAGTCGAAGGAATTTCCCCGCGATGTTCGAAATTATTAATATTTAACGAAACGGTATCGCACCTTCTTTTTTAAACTGACGGTTCGAGATTACTAGTAGCCCAATATGTCATTGCACAACAGCTGTTGGGATGCTGTCACAGGCTCTTTAAGAGTAAGGATGCTTAAAATAAAATGTCCTTCTGTGGTCTTCCTTGTCTGATCCAAAAACAAACAACTGTTGTGAATATACTGGTAACATTCTGCTTTGTGCATTACTGATAATGTCTGCAGCTCAGCTATGTCTTTGAGTTTCAAGAGTCCTGACTTAAAAAACAGTCTGTTGGTGTGTTCTCTTGAATCAGCTTTATGAATTATTCTTACTGCCCTTTTCTGTAATATTGACAATGGCTTTATATTGCTCATGTACGTGTTGCCCCACACTTCTATACAATACATGAAAAATGGCAAAATGAGTGAACGGTACAACATCCTCAATGCCTTGTAATCTAGCAAATACTTTGCCTTGTTTAGAACAGAAATATTCCAAGTCACTTTGGTTTTAACATGTGCTATGTGTGATTTCCATGTCAAGTTTTCATCCAGCGTCACACCTCAGAATCGAAATTCAGAAACCCTTTCAATAAAAACTCCATCAATGTTTTCATCTTTTGTTCTATTTGCAAACACCATAAACTTAGTTTTATTCAAATTTAGGGTTAACTTATTTTCATCAAACCATCTTTTAAGTGTGACCATTTCATGTCCAATACACTTTGCTAAAATGTTTAAATCATCTCCTGAACAAAAAAAATTGGTGTCGTCTGCAAACAACACAAATTGCAATAATGTTGACGTTTCACATATGTCATTGATGTACAAGATAACAAGTTTAGGCCCTAAAACCGAGCCCTGTGGGACACCACATTCTATGTTCATACACATACATCGGAATGTACTACCAGCATATTGTACATATTGTTGTCTGTTATCTAAATAACTTTTTAACCAATCTAGAACTACTCCTCTCACACCATATCTATGTCATTTCGAAATGAATAGGTAGTGGTCTATGGTGCCTTTTTTAAGTCAATAAATACACCTATTGTGTATTTCTTTCTTTCTATAGCTGTTGTAATTTATTCTGTTATTTTCATTAAAGCTATAATAAGCTACAATGTCACATTAGAGACCATAACTCTTTTTAATATCCCAGTTTGTGCGTACTTGAAGTACTAGGCAAGGCAAGTGTATTTATAGCACCTTTCAACACAAGGCAATTCAAAGTGCTTTACAAAAATGAAAGACATTAAGAAAGTGGATATCATGTGCTGGAAGTCAACTTTTCCATCAAGTACAAACCCAATCCAGTGGGAATCAAGTCTGAAACAAGTTATCAAGTTATTACTCTTACATGTTCTGGAGTGGGATTGCTTAAACTGTTGTTACACTAAGTACTAGAAAGAAATCCAGTATTAGTGAGGAATAATCATGACAGAATATTATGTTGGCTAAAACAGAAACCATTGCAAAGTTGAAAAGATATGTGGGCCTTTTTTATTTAAAGTGTATTGTCATTTTCTTACAGCAGTCATGTAATTCAAATGAGCTTCTTTTATCAAAATATCTACGAAAAAGCATTTATCTTCTCCCATGTAGCATGTTTATCCCTTTTCTGTCAACTTGTTTAAAACATTTGACCGAAAAGAGTAGTACAAGCATACTTTTAGATAAATTAAGAAACAATGCTGCATTTTAACGAGGACATTCTGATTAAAGATAATGACAGTACATGTATTTGTTGTGTTTGCAACACTTGTAATTATCTCCTTAGCTGTATCGATCGTCACAAAGTGAGGGGGGGGCGGTTACAGAGAGAAGAATGCATCTTTAAGGATTTGGTAATGAATGGCTGTAAAAGTAGCTTCATTCAGCTCCCCCTCTTCTTTCTGTGCCCACCCTGCCCCCCAGCACACTATTACAATGCAGGACCCCATCCCCCCCAACACACACACTTTAACACACATTAACACACACACTCCCTGCCCTGCCCCCTGAAGAACACAGGGAGGGGGTGGGTGTGTATGGGGGTTTCCCCAACTATTTAAGCAGATTCCAACAGATGGTGGAGGAACTTTCTTCCAAAGGGTCACATTGCTCTCTCTCCCCCCTCACTGACTCCCTCTCAACGGACCGGACTACTTCTTCACTTCTCTCCCCTTCCCTACAAACACCTCTTTCCGCTCTGGGAGAACAGTTTCTCCTGACCGCCAAAGAACGACCTTCAAGGGACGGAACTCTCCGAGGCTCTCCGGGCCCTGAAACCCTTTCTGTGCCGGCTCAGCTCTTTAGAGGCCAGGCTCTGTATTCTTTCTCTCCCCCCCAGCCTTGCTGCACTGAGGGACCAGACCCCAGACTTCACTCAGCGAGGACATTGGAGCGAACCATGCCCTCCGGCTTTCTAACGCCTTTCCTGGAACTGGATGAGGAGTTCTTCAAGGTGAGAGCAACACATCACAATTCACACTATTTACAAGTATTGACTAACTTTCTGCATCCAACTGTGATGAGGTCTGGCTTGGCAGACAAAACTAGGGAAAAGTCATGTAACATCTTATTCAGTAGAATAATAAAATGCAGAGATAAAAAGTAGTAGAAGTAATTTACATATAGATGAAGTGGTTTTTGGATGTATCTAAACTGTAGGAATATGGCCCATAGGAATAAGTCTTTTCAGTTTTGGGGTGAATCTAGATTGGAGTGAGTCTGTCTTAAAACATTGTGAACTTGTGAAAATTGGAAATGTAGAGTGGGCAGCTTGTTTTAACAGAAAATCTGACACCAAATCTTAAACTGCAAGAACAGTTTTGTGGTTTCATATATTTTTCTCAAGTTAAAAAACAATCGTACTTCTTAATAAAATGTTCTCAGTTGCTTTAGCTGCAGCTTTGAAATCTCCCTTCAGCTCGGCTTGGCCCTGCCTCGCTCCAGTGCTCCAGGAATGCATAAAGCTCACATCTATTCTTCTCCTCTCTTTTGTGTGACAGAACTTCCGCGGCATGGAGGCGACAGATGGCCCTCTACCCGGCTCTCTGCCACCACAGAACCAGAACCAGAGGGTCCTGGGCTTCCAGCGCCGCCACTCCCTGTGCCCGGTGACCCTCCCCAACTCCAAGTTCAACAGCAGCAGCAGCAGCAGCAGCAGCTCTGAGGTGGCTGACTCAGCCGGGTGGGGGTTCAACATGGCCCCCCCCCAGCAGTGGAGCCAGGACGGTCAGCTCCCTCGCTCCTCGCTCAGTCACATCCCCTTCAGAGTGGACCGCTCGGTCAGCATGATCGAGGGCCACAGCCTGGCAGCCAGAGAGGACAAACTGGCTAACTTGACCCCCAAGGTGCTGCTCCCCCCACCAGGCTTCTGCCTCAGCAACACCTCTCTCTCTTCCATTGCCTCCCCCTCTGATACCATATCCCCAGTATCCCCCCCTCACATCTCCACCCGGTACAAGACCGAACTCTGCCGCACCTACGAAGAAAACGGGACCTGCAAGTACGGGGCCAAGTGTCAGTTTGCCCACGGCATGGACGAGATGAGGGGCCTGAGCCGGCACCCCAAGTACAAGACGGAGCCATGCCGCACCTTCCACACCATCGGCTTCTGCCCATACGGCGCCCGCTGCCACTTCATCCACAACGCAGACGAGATGCTGGACGGCGGGGGCCCTTCACAGAAACCCAGGATGAGGCCCCCCCTGCTGCGTCACAGCGTCAGCTTTGCAGGCTTCTCCTCCTCTCCACAGACTTTCCAACCGGTGGAGGAGTCGCAGCCTTCCTCCTTCCTCTTCACCCGGGCCTCCTCAGTCTCCCCCCCTCCCTCCTCCACAGGGAGCCCAGAGCTCCTCTCCCCCCTCTTCCCTGAGCCGGGGTCCCTGAAGCAGTGTCCCTACCCCTTCTCTGGGGTCCCAGAGCTGGGTGGGGACAGCGGGGACTCGTCTCTGCGGTTCTACGCGGTGACCGACTCTATCAGCTCCAAGTTTGTCGCGTCCACTTTCACCTCCAAGAACCCAAACCTCCCCTACCTCCTCCCCCAGCAGCTGCCCGTCTCCCTGCACAGTCTGCAGCGCTGCTCCTCCGCGGAGTCCCTCTCCGAGGAGGGCTACACCTCCTCCTGCTCCCTCAGCTCGGCCTCCAGCGGCACCGAGTCTCCGAGCTTCGAGGGCCGGCGCCTTCCCATCTTCAGCCGGCTGTCCGTCACAGACGAATAGGGATGGTTTACTGCAGGGCTGAGTTTAATGGGGGACGGATGGTTTTATTGTTTGTAGCCTTTATTTAACCAGGTGAAAATCCCATTGGAGACCTGGAAAAATCTATGTGAAGAGGATCAGATTTTTTCTCTCCAGTCCAAAATCAACAAACTAGCACAATATTTGATGTAAATAAAGCAGAAACTCCATTATCACAACTAGACTTTTTAAACAGTTGAGATACAAGTCGCTTTCGATTTGAACATAGTGTTCCAGTTCCTCCCTGAACCCAGCCGGGTAAGAGTACCCAACTTTGTGCATATTGCATTTCTCATCCAAGCAGTTGTAGTGCTGCTCAGTGTTCGTCCAGTTTTAGCTGACTCCTGTTTTGTTATTTTTTTTAAGTTTTTTATTTGTTGCCATTGTTACTGCTGTATACTGTTGTATACCAATTCCCTGTACCCTGATGAAATCTTAAGATTAATGTTGTATGCCCTGTGCATGACTGGAGTACTTTTTTAGGATAGCAAAGTTATTTTTTCACAACTGGCTTATTTGTGTTCCTTGCAACAGTTTAGAGTGATGCCAGTCATATCAGGGCTCTCCACCTGTGAGCTTCTTTTCCACGAGTAAGAGGCTGAGTACTGTATGCTGTCACTGATTGATTGGTTGCATGGCTGTGGCCACCTGATTGTATTTGTCAGCCATATTAACTGTATGGCTCAGATATAGCTAAACTAAACATCAGCAACAACAAGTTTAGGCACCCCACTGACTCTCTAGTTACCAAAATTGGTGTTAGTTACCCTAACCTAGTATTGCTAACACCTAGCCTAGCCTTTTACCAACAGGTAATATACAGTTTTATGATATTGATATTATAGCTAAAACATTTCTAGATGTTTCTAGATATTTATTGTTTTTGTATAGGTTGATATGTGTGATCTGTGTCTGTGTTCATGCTGTGTTATAATGCTAGAGAAACGTTGCTTTACTTTGCATTCATGATGGCCATCTGCTCGGTTTATGCTATCCAGTAGCTTTAATGAGGCTAGCGGAGAGGAGACAAAGGGAGGGAGAGAAACATTTTTGGCATTCTATAAGTACGTATGTTGCCTTATTGGCTAAATGGCCAGCAGAAATCAAGTCTCACTGAGTTAACACCATGAGCAGCTCGATTAGTAAGTTAGTGGTTATCTTCCACGAGAGGAGCCTTCTGATGGTACTGCCTCTGAAACATCTGGGATCAGTAGCATTAGCCATGCTAACTGCTGATGGTGTCAGCACACAGTGAGTCTACTCCTCTCCACTAAGCCTCTGACTGTAATAACCTTGTTCAGTTTGTTTAGTGATGTTATCTCTATACAAAGCAAAATGGTGTTGAAAGAGTGGTTCATGACCTCAGAGTCAGCAGTTATAAATTAAAATATGTTTACACTAAGATCATTAGTTTAGGAGCAGCACAGCTATCAAATGATAAGGACATTATTTAGAAAAGAGTGTTAATATGTCATTGTGCATGTTTGCCTAATCTGAGACTGCTGTACTGCATTTGGTCGTGGTGTATGGAAATTCCTACACTCTTTAAATCCTGTGTGCTATCTACTTCTATTGTGATGTAAACGGAAGGTGAAAAGGTTACCTTTGATTACTGTTTAATTTTATCTATCAGAGTTGCCTTGATGACAATGTGTTTGTAGGTCGACCTTGCTGACTGAGCGGCAGGGGAAATCAAGACTTTTATGGTGTGTGTTTGTGGAGAAATAGTCCAGAGACGCTCTGTTGCTGCAGACCCGGCAGCAAGCAGCTTTTGTAACTTTTGTTAACTTAAAGTCTTATTTATTTTGCTTTTCAAAGCAAAACCTATATTGTGGTGTTAAATTGTGTTTCTTGTTTTGCATAATTTAAGTGCATTTATTGTTTACATTCCATGGGTTATGTTCACATGCTGGCTCTTTATCTTAATATATTTGTCCCATTTCATTTCAAAATAAAAGTCTTTGAAAAATGATTGCTCAGCTGTCTGCATCTCATCACACCTAAGTGTTATTTTTTGTCATGTTGTGTGCATTAAGTCTAAAGTAACATCCAGGGTGTTTCAGGATTATAGATATTCTCCTATGAATCAGATCATTTGTAATCTTGAGTAATTTCTGAGTTAAATAAACAATAAAAACTTGTTCTAAATATAATGCAACATACATTTTGAAAAAATGAAATCCAACACACAGCTCTTTAAATCGTTTCTCTAATTCTGATCCACATGGACTGAACAGAGTATAATCACATCACACCCTCTCTCAAAAACCATATATTTTGATCAAGTTTTCTGCACAGATTGTCTCATGACACAAAGTGATCCCTCGGACTCAGGTTAGCTCCGCTGGATGAGAAGAACTGTGGACCACATCTTTATATGACATTAAAGAATATGGATAATATGAGGAGATGCAGAAACAAAGGAGGTGTATATTTATATTAACTGTACACTTAATATAATTGATTTCTTTGGGAAACTCAATTTATATTTGGACTTGCTTTATTCCAATTTATACAAACACATACTGAAATAATTGGCCTTCATCTATTTGTTTTGTTTTTTAGTGCAACATGAGCTTTTTTTTGTTGCAAAAAGCTTTTTAAGAAATATTTTGTGGTTAACATTATGCTCTTACAGAAATGTTCATTTTTGGAAAAGCCTTCCCACCAGCATCCCTATACAATTCTGCCACTACTTCCTGGTTCTAAACGATCATGGAGACAAAAGAACAAACTTAACTCTTTCGTGTTCAGGGAATCTCCCAACCTTCCCCGCTGTGTGTGTTGTGTGTGTGTGGTGTGGGAAGAGGAGTGAGTTTGGTTACAACTCGTCTCAACAGACCAATTTAGAGTGAGTGGCACTGAGGAGAATGTTTGGGCAACAGATGCTCGAACAAAGACTTCCCAGAACACAATGGGGCACAGAGATACTTGTTACTGATTTCCATCTATTCACACAAAGTGGAGCAGAAGTTGATGTTCTCCAGTGTGTGTGTGTGTGTGTGTGTGTGTGTGTGTGTGTGTGTGTGTGTGTGTGTGTGTGTGTGTGTGTGTGTGTGTGTGTGTGTGGTCTAGCATTACTATACTTGTGGGGACCTAAATCTGTTTACATAGTCACGTGTGGGGACTCGCCTCCCTTATGGGGACAAATTGGAGGTCCCCATGAGGGGAATCATTCATTTTAGGGTGAAGACTTGGTTAGGGTTAGGGTAAGGGTTAGGGTTAGGTTAGGGTTAGGGTTAGGCATGTGTTGGTTATGGTTAAGGTTAGGATAAGTCTCCAGGAAATGCATGTAAGTCAATGTAATGTCCCCTGAAGTGATGTATACATGGTGTGTGTGTGTGTGTGTGTGTGTGTGTGTGTGTGTGTGTGTGTGTGTGTGTGTGTGTGTGTGTGTGTGTGTGTGTGTGTGTGTGTGTGTGTGTGTGTGTGTGTGTGTGTGTGTGTTGAAAAATAAGTACCATTTATGTGTTGGTGGAGGCGGAGCTTATTTGATAGACTGTTGGCTAGTTTAATCTTTTACAATAGGCCTACACTGTATTTAAGAATCCAATAATGTTTTTTGTTGTCAAATCTTGTTTTTTGTTGTCAAATCTAAATATGTTCTAACATCAGCTGTACTGTGTTATTTATTGGTAAGATGTAGTGTTATAAAAGTTAACTTGAGTTTCCTGAAGTACACTTAGTTATGACCAAGAAATAAACACTCAACTGAAACATGCTGTCACGCCCAAAATCACCCATCAATACAATCTCTTACAACAAACACATAGATCATTAAAACGTGGAATAACGTTTTTACATAATGAGGTAAAAATAAACAGCAAATATCTACAGTAGAAAATACATATCACACAGAATACACAATATCAAATATTCTGGATAGATTAGAATTCTCTCTAAAAGACCGATATACTACAGCAGCAGAAATGTAGACATAACATACAGTATATAACATATATACATAGGATGGTATACAGAAATAGTAAATAACAGTTGTGCAAGGTAATCATATGTATTCAAGTATTTTTGTTGCTGTTAAAATGTTTCTATTTTCTATTTTTCTTATTAGTCATTTACATTGTAGACTAAACAGTGACCTGAGGGACATACTGGAACCTCGGACTGAGCGTGTTACTATTAAAGTGAGATGAAAAAAGGTTTTAAGAGGCTAGCTCACAAAACATGTTCCTGTGTGAGCATTTGTTGTGTGTGTGTGTGTGTGTGTGTGTGTGTGGTGTGTGTGTGTGTATGTGTGTGTGTGTGTGTGTGATTGTGTGTGTGTGTGTGTGTGTGTGTGTGTGTGTGTGTGTGTGTGTGTGTGTGTGTGTGTGTGTGTGTGTGTGTGTGTGTGTGGTGTGTGTGTGTGTGTGTTGTTGTTGGCATTCAGCTGTGGGCCTGCTAGGGTTTCCCTCTGGTGAATGAATAACAGTGGAGTGAAGCAGGAGCAGACTCCCACAACCCCCATGGCTACTTACCATTCAATACCCATGGTAGTGTTTGTGTGTCTGTGGGTGTGCATGAATGTGTGTGTGTGTCTGTAAGACCTTAAAAAGGCCAAGGGCCATCCCTGTGCAGCCCCTCGACCCCTCCCTCCCCTCCTGGTCATGCAGGCCCCCTTTGTGTTTCCCTGCTTTCCCCTTTTCACTCCAACATCTGTATGCTAATGCTGCTCAATGGGAATGGACTAGAATCATCCTGGAAGAGAGGGTGAGGGGCAGCTTGTGAGTGAGTGAGTGCGTGTGTGCGTGCGTTGTGTGTGTGTGTGTGTGTGTGTGTGTGTGTGTGTGTGTGTGTGTGTGTGTGTGTGTGTGTGTGTGTGTGTGTGTGTGTGTGTGTGTGTGTGTGTGTGGTGTGTGTGTGTGTGTGTGTGTGTGTTGTGTGTGTGTGTGTGTGTGTGTGTGTGTGTGTGTGTGTGTGTGTGTGTGTGTGTGTGGATAGAGATGGGGGAATAAAGTGATTTGGCAGAATTCAGCAGCAGGGAAGGGTTTGTGGCGGGTTTATAGAGAGGGGAGAAGCATTATTGATTCAGGGCGAGCTCAGGGAACAGATGGGTTTGGGGAAAGGGGCTGTGTGTGTGGGAGTGTTTCTTATTTACAATTGTCTTGAATTACCCCCCAAATTAAAACACAGAGATGTGCTAAAGTTAAAGTTGAGGTACGATACAATCAATTTGTGGCCGTCTCCATGTAAGCATCCAGGTCAGGTACAGACAGTCCTACATAGCATGACAGCGTGGGAGGACAGATTAATATAGATTAGATAGGCTGGATTATTAGGCAGGGTTATTGGTACAATGGTGACTACTTGTTTTTTTATACCTGTTACTTATTCAGTGTCTCGTTCAAACCCTCAAAGAAGAGTTGATGATGCTTCTTAAACCTTTTCTGTTTTTAAATAAATACAAATTATGTTGGCATGGTATTGGCTTTAGGGTTGATCCTCAAATGTCCAGAGGTGTTTGAGATGTATTTCACTCTGGATCCAAAGTATTTGGCCAACATAGCAAATGACTACAGCTTAAAATATGAGAGATTGAATAACGTGTTGCTGTAAAAAGCCAAGCCCATGAAGGTGCCTGGATTAGAAACCCCCCAAAAAATCTAATATTTTGATTCAAGGCTTTTATTTACAAGGGACCTTTAACACATACAGAGGGTAAATTCAAAGTAGTACATTCACTGACATGAATGACATGGATATGGCTCCACCTTGTGTCATGTTTGCAATGCAGATTATTGACATTAGGTCGAGTAGCATGAAGCTGCAGCGTCGGAGACTGCAGTCTCAGGACCGCACTCCTGGGGTTATGGCTAGAAAGGATCCGTCTTGTGTAAAACTCACGCGAGAGTTTGCAAGTCACGTGGCTGAATGTTTACGTTTGGCAGGCAGCCTTTCAGTTACGATCGTTAACATCAGTGGGCCACAGCAAATGATGGTGAGAAGCTAAACTATCTATTAATTATGTCAATTACAGGGAGTGTGATTGTTGAAATAGGGTGTTAGCGGTCTTGCTGTTCAAAGAAGAATGACAACACTGTAGATCACTGTAGTGTTGTCCTTTTGTATGTGTATCTTGCTTTACTATAGACAACTCAGGAGACAGCGAGTATCATTAACTGTGCTTTATTCCCGCTCTGTACTACCTCATAACTGGTGTCACACATATAACATTCCGGGTATGCACAACTCCGGACCAAAGAGTATGTCACAACATTACATCCCTCCCTTATTTCAGATGAACATTGACTTTTGATATTAACGAAATGTAAATAAGAATTTCAGTAAGAAAGGTCTCTTATTCTTAGTAATCAAATGAAGAAATTAATGTCTCAATGTTTTAACTTAAATGACTGAGTCTTCTTTGTCACTAGCAAAAATGTCCTTTTTGTAATTGTTCAACTATCTGCAGTCTCTTGACTTCTTGAAGTCATATTTCAGCAATGAGACGTTGTGGTGGTCTCCTGTTTGTTCTGATTGAATATCTGGTTGGAACTGGACCTTCGGGGTTGATATTCTCATTTTGGAGCTGATGAGTTTCCTCTCTGGTGGGTCAGGAAGTTGTAGATCCAGATCATCCTCTTCGTCAGTCATTCCTGAGTCAGATCCAATAGGAAGTGAAGGTGGGAGCAGTTTGAAGTGTGAGGAGTTTCGTGTTATCTCATGTCCTGGGCGAGCTGCTGCCACCATTGATCCTCTGATCTTCACGATGTGTAAGGTTTGCTTCCATAAGGAGTCATGAGCTTGCCTTTGATATTCTGACGGCATAGCACAATGTCACCTGGTTTGAGGATAGAAGGTCGAGCTCTGTTTTTGTGGTCGGCATGCTCTTTCATGCGTTGCTTGGCACGCTGATCAATATCTTGGAGTTTGGTGTCAGATGTGTGATGGTGAGTCACATGAAGAGTGGGGAGAGTGGTGTTGAGTTTTCTCCCAAACATTAACTCGGCTGGAGTCAGCTGTGTAGTACCG